TGCATATGCATTTTGAGATTTGAACAGATTTGTGTGTGTTAAGCTTAAATTAAGACAACATAAGCACCTGTTAGTTTTAATTGTGGATAAACTTAAATAATTTTGAACTTTTGTCAGCTAATTTTATCTGATGGGTTGAGTGGGATCGAAATTGCTGATGTAGCGCTCTTCTGCCTGTCCAGAGATGACATGTCAGTATCTCATTATTATTCATAGCTGAGTTTTTGATAATATGAGAAGATGCTGCTTCTTAATAATTCATGAGAGCATTTGCTTTTCAAAAACAGAATTTGCCAAGCTGTGAGGCTGCGGCCACGCATGGCATACAGTATTAAGACGTTCATGAAGGTCGTGTGTTTTTGTTTCCATGTTCCATGGTTTTCCCCGCGATACTGTAAGGGCTGACACAGCAAAGCTGTTGGTGTGCAGCAAGCTTTTTTGTTAAGGGTGCTGTACGAGAATTGGAGAATGGCAGACGTTGGGCCCTATCATACACCCGGCGCAATATGGTGCAAGACGCGGCGCAATAGTCTTTTACTAGTTTCAGCTTGGCACAACAGTCGTTTTGAGGCGTTGCGCTACGCTGTCTAAAAAGCAAATGCATTTGCGCTCATATGTGCGGCCATAGGCGTTCTGGTCTAAAAAGGAAGGCGTTCTGCGGCGCATTGCTGGTGCGTTGCTATTTTGAGAAACTAAAATAGATTTTTCAATAGACCAAAACAAACCCGGTCTAAAGTCGAGCGCAGAGTTGCGCCTCGCTTACACACTGCTTAATACACACTGGAAGATGTAGAGCAATACACAAATATCTTTATATATGAAAAAATTAAATATTCTGGATATATATGTAGGATATTAAAAGAATATATATATATATATATATATATATATATATATATATATATATATATATATATATATATATATATATATATGAGCAATTCCATGAAAATGTCAACCTTGCCATGAAAAGAAAAATGTTTTCACCAAAATAGCGAAACCGTTTCTACATTTTTTGCGCAGGCAAGTGTTTTACAGTACTTTAAAAATACTTAAAAATGTGTCTGTCAATGTTTTCAAACTATTATACTTGATTTGCCAAAGTCACACAAATGGCAATTTCACATCCGTCACATCCATAACAAAGCTTTTCCCTCAAAAATGCAAAAATGTCAAAATAAAATAAAATCAATCAGTTTTGTTCTATAGAGAGCCAACTCTTATCCTTTTGTTAAGGAATATTTATTTTGGGTTGTGCAGTTTAATTCACAAAATTTCTACGAAATATGTTGTATACTGTAAACTCGCAGACTTTTTTTGTCACATCCATAACGCTTTTCTTATTTTCCTCTTTTAAAGTATAAAAATGTTCACAGATTGAATTTTTTTGATCCCATAACTCTGTGGTTAGTTGTTTTGGAAAATATAAACAGATGATTCAATATAATGTTAACGTATACTTTCTCTGCGAATTTATGTTTTGAATTTTTACTGCAAATGTCACATCCATAACGCTGGAATCAGCCATATATATATATATATATATATATATATATATATATATATATATATATATATATATATATATATATAGGATGTAAATATAAAGCATTAAAATATTACAAAAAATGTTATTTTCTAGCCTACATAAATATGAAAAACCACTGCTTTTTATGCCTTCTTTATCTCGGGAGGCTTTTTCAGTTCATTCATAACTATTTGCTTTTGTATAATGTTATTATTATTTGCAGTATTATTTATTATGTGCATAATTATATTAGTTTTTTTTTTTAAAGCAAGCTTAGATTTGCCCACCTGCAGGTTTTAGACCATATGGGCCACAGCATGTGTTTTAGGATATAACTCAGGTTTTTGGACACACTTCGTTATTATTGTTCATTTATTCGTTTGCTGGAAATCAGAACTGAATTTAGAATTAGTTTTAAAACAAATATTTGCACTTAATAAACAAAATTAATTATTTATAGGCTAATTGATGTCTGTGCATAAAGGTTTCCCTATCCACAAGAACGAAAGTGAAAGTAGATCATTTATCTCTCGTTCTCGGTAGATGCTCTGTTTAACTGCTCCAAAAAAAAAAAAAAAAAAAAAAAAACTGTTAACTGTTTGCTTGTGAAATGCTCAGTTTTTCCACTTACACTTTAAGTCATGTAAATAGCAAATGCGCTTATGGCACGACACAAGGCTTTTAAAGGGAATGGGAGATGAGACTCTGATTGGTTTATTTTCAAAACACACCTATAACTCATTAAGAAAATAAACTCAACCCTTTTAGACCATGCTCCACAGCGCAAAGCGGATTTTCCCGTCCTTAAATTAGCAAAAATGCGTTCTGACACGCCCTGAAAGCGTTTGCGCCCTGCGTTTTGTGCTTTTCGCATGGACCGTCAAAATAGAGCCCATTGTCTTTTATCAGTTGGGGTTTTTACCATTCAGACACATGGCCTATCCATACTGCTGTGTTCGCCTTTATTTAAAATCCTACAGATTACCAGCAGGGTTAATGGTTAAAATACACATGACATGACACTGCTAGACATAGCACTGTGTTTATTCAGACCCAGGGATTCATAATGATATAGCAAATTGTGGTTATGTGTATATATTATACGAAATTACAAATTTATCGTATATACAGCATGGCATTAAATTACTTAATGTTTTTTCTTTGCATTTTACTCTGTAAACCATAAAATCTTTGGTCTCCTCAAGTTTTGTGGCTGACTTTGTGAGCCAACGGACAGGGGTATGCTTCGCTCCCCTCTTTTCCCCTGCTCTGCCGGCCACGCCCTCTTCTCGCTCTGCTCACTCCTCCCTCTGCCCCATCATGAAGCTTTTTTTTTTTTTAATTTTGAACTGAAAGAGGGGCGTTTCATGGCCCTTTAAAATGTAACATGTTGCACATATATTAACATAAAAGGTAAACGATCGTTCAGTACACCAAATTAGCTTTACAGGGACATCAAACATGAACTATCTATGATCTTGTTAAAATGTTGTTTAAACATTAATTCCAGGAGTATTATAACACAGAAGATTAATACACAAGCAAGAAACTTGTTCCAAACACCTAATTTCACATTGAGAGGGAATAAAGGATTACATGGAAAGAAGCATAAGTATTAAGTTGGGTTTTATAGGTGCATGACTGCGTTTTTGTCCAACAGAACAGCACATTTATTTTCATGAGGTAAATACATTTAGAATCGGATTACACACTAACAATTGCTCTTGCTAGATGGAAGAAGTTTATTTGTTAAATAAAGCTAAATAATTATTTGTATGATCAGCCACCAACATAGTGGTGCAATAGGTAGTGCTGTCGCCTCACAGCAAGTAGGTTGCTTTTTCGTGCCTCGGCTGGGTCAGTTGGCGTTTCTAGGTGGAGTTTGCATGTTCTCCCTGCGTTCGCATGGATTTCCTCCGGGTGCTCCTCCACAGTCCAAAGAAATGCGGTACAGGTCAATTGGGTTGGCTAAATTGTCCATAGTGTATTAGTGTGAATGAGTGTGTGTGTGGATGTTTCTCCGTGATGGGTTGCAGCTGGGTTGAGTAGTAAGCAACGTATCTGTGAAGGGGGGCGTGTGTGCATGAGAAGTACTTGAAGAGCGGTGGGGGTGAGTTGCGCAGGACGTACCTGAAGAGCTAGTAGGAATGCAGTGGAAAGAGGGGTGTGCAACATATTTAAAGACCGGGCAGGAGATGCGCGATTTCCGGGAGATTATAATTCATTTGCGGGCATATATTCATCCGCGAGTGTCTATGCATTTTAGGGATACTCCCGCAACTTCCGGGAGACTTGGGATGTCTGACATGCTCACGGTTAACTTTATGCAATTTAATAATCTGTTTAAAGTGAAAGCAACCGGTGCTGCTTACAAGAAGACACATTTTGAGCTCTTAAAAGCATCAGGACTGTGGGCCATAAAACACTAAGCAGACTGATTGACTATCCTGTGAGCTGTGATGCTCTGAAAATAAGATGTTTCTTTTCCGGACAGAGCGGCCCATGTGACATAATCTGCAGCCCATTGGTTCTTTTCTTTATTGACATTGGGCTGACCCAATCACAAACTTCCATGTTGGGCTCTGTGTAAGCGTTGTATTTGTCAAAATAGTCAAGAGTCACGCCTGTTTCACATGCACGAGATAGCAGAAGCGGCGAGCAGGCATTTGCCTTTTGCGTCTGCATTCTGCAGCATGCAGCGGAGCACAGATCAATATATTCCTGTCTATTCTATCTAGTTATCTATATGTCCTATGTCTTTATAAATATACGTTTAAAAAAATTTTTTTTTACTTTTAATCTGCACCAGGGCACGCGTCAACTTCCTCCTATGCTGTTTCCTTAACCTGCAAGCCTTTGTTTTACAAATTTTAAAGAATGACTGCTTCTCAAGCTCTATGAGGAGTGTCAGTCATGTATTTTAAGATGTACGCGGTCAGAAGAAAATCGCATGAGAAATCATGACATTGTGTTTTAGATCGTCAACATGATGTAGGCTTATAGTGACAATAATATTTATACAATATGGTAAGAATAATATTTATACATTACCAAACTAGTGTGCAACTTAAGCAATTTTTTTAACATTTAGTTTTGTACTGCGTTTGTTGTCCACAAAAACTGTTGTAAAAACACACGTCTGGTCTGAGGTTCTCCACCGGAGAAACATCAGTCTATAGCGATCGATGCTTGACTCCTGTACTAATAGACTATTACACTTTTCCCCTGGAATTCTGCTTAATCAGTGTTAATACATGGAAATTGAATTGAAGTCTATTCGGATTTCACTGACAGCCAAAATGTTGCCTTGTTTTAGCTAAGACATCTATGAAAAACAAAATTGCTTGGTGGGATGTCTCATTCAGCATTCTCTTTTAAATGAGCAAAGGCAAACCAAGATTGTGAAATAATTTTGTTTTAGACTTGACCTCTCTCATCTCTCTCTCTCTCTCTCTCTCTCTCACTCTCTCAGAACTATACCCAGTACATCCCACTCTCTGTCTATGACCTACAGACATGGATGGGAAGTCCCTCCATCTTTGTGTATGACTGTTCTAATGCAGGCATCATCGTAAAGTCATTCAAACAGTTTGCATTGCAGAGGGAGCAGGAGCTGGAGGTTTGTGGCATTACACACACATACACACTTCATTTATTTATTTTTTTAATTCATTATTGATTCATTAATTCATTATTGTTGGGAATAATACAATACTTGTAGGAGGTATTACTTTATAATGACTGCACAATATGAATCAATTGTTTAGCATTAGCAGTAGTTAATTCATTATTTGATAAGCATTAACTCCTAATTTTCCTTCAGCTTAATCCCTTATATGTCAAGGGTCGACATAGTGGAATGAACCTTCAATTATTCCAGCATATGTTTTACGCATTGGATGCTCTTCCAGCCACAACCCAGTACTAGGAAACACGCATACACTCTTACTTTGACACACACACTCCTACACTCCCACCCACACTTCTTTGTGGGTGGGAGCGTGAATAAACATGAATACTTCTGGCGGAGGTGGGAGAAATTAAAATATATCAGACTGAAAAATCCATCCCCCGCAGGTCTCTTTCCTATTGTTATGCCCTGTGTGGATCGGAGGATGGAAAGGGGCTATATATATTTTTTCTCAACATCTGGTTAAAGGAAAAGTTGAAAGGATTTTTTTCAGCAGATTTCAAAACATAATAGTTTTAATAAAAATGTTTCAATAACTAATTTATTTTATCTTTGCCATGATTACAATACATAATATTTCATTCATTCATCTTCTTTTTCGGCTTAGTCCCTTTATTAATCTGGGGTCGCCACAGCGGAATGAACCGCCAACTTATCCAGCACGTTTTTACGCAGCGGAAGCCATTCCAGCTGCAACCCATCTCTGGGAAACAACCATACACACTCATTCACACTCGTACAATACAGACAATTTAGCCTACCCAATTCACCTGTACCACAAGTCTTTGGACTGTGGGGGAAACCGGAGCACCCGGCCAAAACCAACGCAAACGCAGGAAGAGCATGCAAACTCCACACAGAAATGCTAACTGACCCAGCCTTCTTGCTGTGAGGTGGCAGCACTACTTACTGCGCAACTGCGTCATAATATTTCATACATAATATTTAACTAGGTTAATTAGACAAGTTTGGGTAATTGCATAGAAATATACATTAGATATTGCACATGGGCCTTGAGCATGCATCAACACCCCCCAGCATAATTGTACCTATCAGTGCTCTCAGGACAAAAGTCATTAAACTGCACTTAATCAAGACCAAAGTTAATCTGAAGATGCTGGATTTTTGTGCTGCGTATGGGCAGAGATGGCAAAAGTAGGCACATCCTTTACTCAAGTAGAAGTCTAAAACAAGTCATGTTTAAAACAACTCTGGTAAAAGTTGAAGTACTCATTACACTTTTGTACTCAAGTAAAGTTAAAGAAGTACAGCCTTGAAATATGGACTTAAATAAGAAGTATTCAGTACTAATACCAGTTTTAGTTTCACAGTGGTAACTACACTGCAAGTCATGTGTACATCCATACAAAATAACTTGCATTTAATAAAAAAAAAAAAAAGTTGTTGCTAATTTTCTGTTGCAAATTAGCCCAGCAATTTCACTATAATATTGTCCAACAACACTGCTCAAAAAGTTTACAGTTGTTGAGCTGCCATACTCGTTCATATACTCTAAAACGTAAATTCTGTATAGGCCTGTATTTATAACTAATACATGTTTTAAATTTAACACTTTCATTTTGGACATACTTGGGACATTTTGTCTAACTTTGGACATTTTGTCCAAACCATATTGCCGTTTTTTTTTCTTTTGATTAAAAAAACGAAACAAAAACAAATGTATTTGACTGCAAAACATTTTTTGTATAATGCTAAAGCTGCTTCATTTTCTTTAAACAGCAACACTTTTGCAGCTCATATGATTTTTGATTTGTATTTAGTTTAGTTAGTTTTCAATGTATTGTGTCTATTTTATAAAGCCATTAATGCTGTTAATACATTTTTGCTTTAATTTCTTCACGGGATAAATTCCTAATCCTTTGCATTTATATATTTATAAATCACCCTGTATAAATACACTTGCTGTTCTAACATATTTATCTAGCAATTTATTTAACAAATATAAATGAAGACAACAGTGCAATATAAATATAAATGTTAAAACTATAAAACAGTATAAATTCTGTACTAGTAAATATAAACTCTCAATGCATAACCTATTTATAAAGTAGTTAACCTCTTTAGTACTAACTGTACAAACACTGACAATAAAGCACATGATTGTTAAAGTGATGTTTGTTTAAAAGATTAGAGAGGTACAGTACACCATGGTTGAAAGCAGACATAAGAATTTAACCCCATTTAAATGATCTTATTGCCCTGTATAAACATGACATCACCATGTTTACATACCTGATTCCCTGTCACATCCCCATTTGCCATTCTTGCTGTTCCCATACTAAGCTTAATAAACACGCTTGCGTATAGCGCATGATCATAGGTTGAAAAAGCCGCCCACTGCAGCATGCAGGCGCGCAACAACAAATACCATCAGGCCTTTCACAGGAACTAGGAAATATATCAGTCATTTCCATTTTAGCTGAGTAGCTGTGTATAATCAGATATGAAATATATGAAAAAATAACATGATTTCTTTCAAGTGAAACATGAGCACATATTGCTTTGCATCTTATTAACACAGTCAAGCCCTAAAATTAAATTCTGGACCACCCTTTTAACAAAGTATTTGTACTTTGTTACTTTCCATCTCTGCGTACAGGTGTAGTAATGAGCAAAGAAAACAAAGCATAAAGGCATAACATTTCATAGGTAAGATTTAGTTTTTTTAATGATTTTGTTTGTTACAAACTTTTGTGCTAAACAAGTGTTCTTGATGAAAATATTATCACTTACTGCACTGACCATAAGGCAAAGTAGCACCAACTTGCACTAAATTCTAGGCTTATGCTAGTTTGGTTGAATAAAATCATCAAAAATGTAAATTTAATATGACAACAAGACACTGATGCCAGAAATGTGCATCGTTGTTGGTTAATTGAATGATTTTTATTTTTTTTTTAAAGGTAACCTATAAGAGTGTTCGGTAACATAATGTAACAGTCTGCGCCTGCGCCTCAATGTGCATACTTTCCATCCTAAATTATTGAACATTAATAATGTTACATACTGTACCATTTAGATCAGAAAGGTGCATTTGCACATTGGGAGGCAGGAATATTGGTTCACATAAATCGTTCGTAACAAAAATTAATTTATGTGATGTGTATTTTTACATTTAGAAACGATTCGCTCCCTTCGTTACAATTATAGGGGAAAGGGGGTGTGATTCTTTACGTGGATTGGGTTAAATTTAACAGGGATGGAGGATAATACATTTTCATGCACACAGACACACACTCTTTGTCAGCAATGCCAAAGACTTTAATATATTTTTTTAAAAATGTGCATATTGGCCACCAGAGAAAACTTCCGATCATAGATGGTGTACCCATGTGTATATATCTATGAACCCAGATGGTCAACAATTTTTATTTGCAAATAAAGTAAGACGTGTGAACAAAAAGCCTGTATGGTGTTGAGTTCCTTGTAGATGCAGTGCATAAGAAAACAAGCCAAAGACGGACTAAAACACAGACTAATATTACAACTAAATGCTATTTACAATATGTGAGGGTGAGGTGCAATGCTAATGTGCTTTGGTAGTGGTAGGGATATACATTTAACATGTAAGCATTTAACAGATGCTTTTATCCACAGTAACTCAGACCCGTGAACAGACAGTGAGCAGTGGGATGCCTGGGGAGCAGTCAGGGGTTCTGTGCTTGTGGTATTAAAGGGTGAAGAGAGTGTTTTACCCACCTACAATCATGCCGGTGCCGGGACTTGAACCTGTGTTCTTTGGATCTCAGGTTCATCTCTCTTACCATAAGGCCATGGCTGGCCTCAATTACAGCGATAGTAATTTGTTTGATTAATGAATTTTGATCAGTTTACTTTTTATAGAATAAAAAATAAATAGTAATAGTAAGTATATAATAAACAGTTACATTGGACAGATTAAATCAGAATGACTGTTAATAAAATTAACAGAGCACATCAGAAAATTAACAAAGCAGTAACAGCATTTACAGCAACAGTAGCAACAGTAACATCAACAGCAGCAACAGGTAAAAGAAACAAGATATAAATCCCGGGAAATGTTTAGTGTGTTGTGTTGACATCAGAGCAAAATAATTTCATCTTTTTGACATATATGATTTAATTCTGTTTACTTGTTTCCTTTTTCTTATAATAGGTGGCAGCAATAAACCCAAACCACCCACTAGCTCAGATGCCTCTGCCTCCCTCGATGAAAAACTGCATTCAGCTGGCTGCCTGTGATGCCAGTGAACTCCTACCCATGAATCCTGACCTCCCTGCTGACCTCTTCACTTCTTGTCTCACCACACCAATCAAAATTGCTCTACGCTGGTAAGAAATGTTAAATTGTATTTATAATGTGGAAAACAATATTTTGATCTAAATTTTAAGACTCAGAAAAAAATATCTATGGCTCTGTGTGATGAGGTGTGAACTATCATTACTAATGTGACAAAGACAAAGGATTAAATAATGAGCTGCATAGTGGGCCATCCGGATGAGGGGTGACTGGGGGGAGAGGAGGTGGACAAAACAAGTTTAAACATTTTCTGTTTTTAATTTATTGAGAAAATGTTTAGCTATCCCACAAAATAACTTAAGATTCACTTACAAGTGCAGTTAAACAGTTCAAAAGAAGTGTTTATACACATATACATGCACAGGTGCTGGTCATATTAAAATATCTTCAAAAATTTGACTTATTTTACTAATTCCATTCAAGAAGTTAAACTTGTGTAATGAATACAATGCAAAAGAGGCTGGCAGTTCACAGAGCTCTGTGTTTAAGCATAATAATAGAGAGATGAAAGGAAGGAAAAGATGTGGTATGTACATAAAATAGGGATAACCACACCCTAGAGAGAATTATGAAACAAAACCAAGTCAAAAATGTGGGGGAGATTCACAAAGAGTGTACTGCAGCTTGGAGTCAGTGCTTCAAGAACTTCAACGCACAGACATATGCAAGACATGGGTTTGAGCTGTCGTATTCCTTGTGTCAAGCCACTCTTGAACAACACACAGTGTCAAAAGCATCTTGCCAGGGCTAAAGACTGGACAGTTGTGGAGTGGTCCAAAGTTTTGTTTCTGTTTGAAATCCGGGTCCCAGATTCTGAAGGAAGAGAGGAGAGGCACATATTCCACATTGCTTAAGGTCCAGTGTAAAGTATTTACAATCATGGTTTGAGGTGCCATGGCATCTGCCGGTGTTGCTCCACTGTGTTTTCTAAGGCCCAAGATCAATTGCCGTATTTCCACTGTCGAGCCAGGGCTTTTATCGGGCCAGGCCAGGGCAATCGCCTGGGAGGTTAAGTAGTGAGGCCGAAATCATGTCACGTTTCCACTGTCGGGCTAGTAGCTCGCAGCGTGTTTGCAAACCCTGCCCCCAGAACGTCCCCTGAATTAAATGTCACACAACCCGCCCACTTTATTGGGAATCAGGCTGAAAAAGCACACCATCGCACCTTCACGAAACCATTAAAATAAAGACAACCGAAACAAACAACTGACTCGTCACTGTACAGCATTACATTATGTCTACACACAGGCCTGTGTATTTCCATTCATTATATTTGTTCACTCACCTACCAACTGTTGGCATCGACTGTTAGGTCTCGCCACTAACGCAGGGACCCAGGGCAGTGAATGCACCCAGCCATAATATAAAACCACAGAAATTCTCATCCTCGTTTTGATAGACATCGTCAAACATTTAGCCCAAATGCTCCAGAAAGACCTAAAACATATAAATTTTCCCCTATGCTATATGACACTTAATAGGTAATTCCCCTTTTTTAAGAGGGTAATTTAAGGATGTTGCCTATTATTCAGTGATCTAAAGTAAAGGAATTTTTAAGTGTTTTAGCACATAAGAGCAAGTAATAAAATGTAGCCTATATTTCGTTGTGCTCAGCAGCTATTAACTAATAAAGCTCTACATTTAAAGTTTAATTTTTAAAATTTTCCACTTCATATAAAAACATAAACACTTCTTTGAGAACATAGAAAACATTTTGTATTTGCAGCTTTTCCAATGCATTTGTAAGGCAGCGCTGCGCAGGACTGGGTAAAAAAAAGGTAGTTTCTGCTTCACTTACCCAAAAATGCTCTGTTTGCATGATTTGATTAATATCATCATATCCAAACCCTTTATAAATAAAATTTTAAACCTCTAGAATTTATTGTTTTTAGAAAATATTTAAAATCTTTTTTTCGGATAGGCCTTTGTAAAATGAAAGCTATATATGGCTTAAAAACTGTTTAATTTATGTATTGTATATACCTACATTGTTATAGGCAGCTTTTGTTTGTTTTATATTGGTTAATTTATTTAATGTGATTTTATTATATCTGATATTTGTAATTCTTTAAGTTATTTCAATATAGCTTAGGCTATTTTATTGAGATATGTCACTATTGTTTTGAGCCTACAAAAGTGGACAAGTAATTTGTAAAGCTGTATGTCTTTCTGTTGTATTCATGTTTTGTATTATCTCTAAAATAAATTAAAAACCAAAGAACCCGCTTGCGGCATCAACAGAGCTGTAAATCGCACGCTCTTTTGCCTGGTCTCTCACACACATACAGGCATCTAACGCACATGTGTAACGCACACACCTTTTAAACTTGACGAAAACTCTCGACAACCTTTACTGGCTGCTGTTTCTTTAATATGGTGTAAATATTATAATTTGTAAATGAAACATTAAGAAGGATGCAGCAAAGATAAGTCACTTATAAATTTAAACTTTATTATTTTATGCAAGACCATTACACATAAGGGCGATTTTAAGCAAAAAGACCCCAAGCCTAGCCAATAAGGCTATCTTAATCTGACCAGCTATGTTTTATTTCCCTTATTTATTTGTTAGGCTCATGTACTCGTGTGCGATTGGAAAACTAGTGTAATGACGGCACAACATCTTTAACAGACTCGGGCAAAGTCTGCCTCTGCTTTACTCCGCCCCGAAACCCTAGCTGGCCTGAGGTATTAGGCAGGCCGAAAAAGGCTGGACACTGGCCCCGAGAAAGCCCCGCTTTGACAGTGACAGTGACAGTGACAGTGGAAACGCGACTGGACTTGGCACGCCCTGGCTTGCTTGCTATAGGCTCGATAGTGGAAACGCGGCTAATGTAGCTCTATTCCAGGATGTTTTAGAGCACTTCATGTTTCCTGCTGCTGACCAACTTTATGGAGATGCATATTTCGTTTTTTAACAAGACTTGGCACCGGCACACATTGCTAAAGCTATCCTAAGTATCCCTGTATGGCAGTGGTTCTTAATTCCAGTCCTTGGGCCCCCCGCCCTGCACAGTTTGCATGTCTTGCTTGTTTAACGCACAAGGACCAGGTAATGGATCTCTCTGTTAATAATATTAGCAGAAGTAGGTGTGTTAAGTAAGGAAGACATACAAAATGATCAGGGCAGGGGGGCTAGAGGACCGGAATTATCAACCACTGCCTTAACCCCATAGAAAATCTATGAGGTATTTTGAAGAGGAAGATTCAATATGCCAGACCAAACAATGCAGAAGACCTGAAGGCCACTATCAGAGCAACCTGGGCTTTTAGAACAACTGTGCAGTGCCAAAGACTGATTGACTCCATGCCATGCCACATTGTTGCAGTAATTGAGGAAAAAGGAGCCCCAACTAAACATTGTGTGCTGTGCATGCTCATACTTTTCATATTCATACTTTTCAGTTGGCCAAGATTTCTAAAAATCTTTTCTTTGTATTGGTTTTAAGTTACATTCTAATCTTTTGAAATTCTAATTTTGGGGTTTTCATAAGTTGTCATTATAATTAAAATAAACAAACACTTGAAGTAAATCAGTCTGTGTGGAATGAATGTGTACACAATACAATTTTCATATTGAAAACCTTTTACCCATGGCACATGCTTACCTACATGTGACAAACAAAAAATAATGTGATTTTATTAATATTTTTTTATTTATTATGGCACTGTTATGCACTGTTGCTTTTCTATGGGTTAAATGTTTTTTTTTAAATACTGTTGAAATAAGACAAAAGAAATCCACTATTTATTTTACTTTTGTTCCATTCAGAAGCATGTAAAATCTGCTGCTGACATTTGTACAGTATTGTCAAAGCATTTTAGATATGTATACCATATCTAATGTATAAACATTAAATATCTAATGTATTATATCATCAAATTAACAAATACACAGCTAATGTGAAATAAATGACATAAAGGAATAAAAACAGAAAATATCTCTAAAAATGATAAAACAATTAAAATAATAAAAAAGTGTGCATCATTTAAATAAGGCAAATGAGTTGATTAACCATTTCTAACAAAATGTACAAATGGTGTACAAATATTTTGCAGCCAGTTTAGATGTTTTTTTCAGGTACAATATATAGCAGGGGTAACCAAGCTTAGAAGGCTGATGTCCTGCAGATTTTAGCTCCAACCCTAAACAAACACACCTGAACAAGCTATTTAAGATCTTACTAGGTATACTTAAAACATCCAGGCAGGTGTGTTAAGGCAAGTTGGAGCTAAACCCTGCAGGGACACCGGTTCTCCAGGACAGAGATTGGTGATATTATGGTATATTATAGAATTAATTATTTAATATTTCTCTCACACTCTCACGGCTGTCCGCGCACAGTCAGCTGCGAAGCCAAGTGAATATAAATAAAAATGTAATGCAAAAACGCTTACAACTAACAACTTTAGAAAGCGAAAGCAAATGCCAAATCCCGGACATTTTAGCAGATTTAGAAACCCCAGACGGATGTTTTTTAAGTCCCAAAAAGGTGCATGTCTGTGGTTTAGAGCATGTGAGATGGTTTGTGGGAGTGTTTTCAGTTTTCGTGCACACACAACAAGCAGTACGAAACGTGTAGGATGAGAGAAGATTTTCCACTGGTCAATCGATTGTGAATGTTTGGTTTTTGGGGACATACAAAAAAAGTATAAAATAATGATAATAAAAGTTAAAAAAAAATTAAAATTAATGACATTAAATATACTTGGGTGGGTGTTTATATACCTGGGTATATAACCCTGGGTATATAGACCTTCTTGCTGTGAGGCGACAGCACAACCTACTGCGCAACTGCGTCGCCTTGCTTGTTTTTATATTTTATGATTAGTTAACATTTGTAGCTAAGACATAATAAGTTATTTGTTTTTATCATCAGTAATCCCTGCATATCCCTCTACACTACGTTTCACCCAACATACATGACATTGAAGTATACATTTTACTTACTTGTGTGTCAAATTGTGTTTATGTCTGTTCGTTTGTTCATTTTGTCCACCAGTCTTCCGGGTTGTGCCATGATGGTTGCAGGAAGCAGAAGGGGCCAAAAAGATGATGTGCAGCATTTTAGTCATGCGCTGTTTTTTATGTAAGGGGGTGAAGAGACTGTGGGGAAAATGGAAAAGGAGTTTTTAAAGATGTGAATATGCAAATAAATCATTTGTGTAGTTGAAGTTAATTTTCTACTACAAATTAAGTGTATAGAAGTATGAGATTCTTACCTGAATGATTTATGTTTTAATATTGTATTTCCATACTTACCTTAAACTCGCCTAACATGGTTTAATCCAGACTGAGCAGAGTCTAGTGGCTATAAAAGAGCAGCTCGAGCTCAGTTAGGAGTGGTGTAAGTGTGAGAGTTGTGGTGTAAAGGTTGGTTGTGGAGAGTCTTTGAGAAGCTGGACAGCAAATACTTTGTATTTATAAATATATATAGAGGGTGACATAACAGTGGATTCAAACCTCTCCTCTCCCAATCCCACAAAAAAATAAAAATAAAATAAAATAAATAAATAAATATCCTGTCCCATTCCCATGCCAGAAATTCTCCCATTTCTGCCACTGTTTTAATTTTCTGGTCAGAATCTGTCAGTTGCTGTAAAATAAACAGTATAGATTACTGCATGTCCATTGCTCAGGTTTAATTGAACAAAAATAAACGTTTTTTATTTATTTATTTATTTTTTATTTAACTGTGTGTATTTCACCCAAGTGAAGTAAAAAATAAATGATAAAAGAACTATATTAAACATCATAAAATTAAAGCAGTTTAGTCAGGCTTACCTTTTATCGCTCATCTATAACATGCTTCTTTACTTTCTTGTATTCCTCTTCAGTAATGGGAGATACAGTGATACATTGTGTCATATAATTTTTTTTATTTTATTGACTACCTCCTGATATTTGAGGGAGCTCCTAGTTTATTACAGTCCCTCATATCCACTACGCTCAGATAATTGACTATTGATTATTTCCTGAGAAAAAAAAAAATCAACTGTTGGCTGTAAATTTTTCTCATTTCTGGAACCTAATCTCCAACTTCAGCTGTGCTAGGAACAGCCTAGCACAGTTAAGGAGACAGACACACACTGTCAGTTTAAAACTAGATTAAAGACACATCTCTTTGCATTAGCGTACACACAAAACGTAAATGCTTTTAAAATCCAAATACTCTAAAGGATTGTTAGGCTGCATTAATTAAGGCAACCGGAGCCGGGAACACTTCCTAAAAAGACAATATTAATTCGAACGCCATCTACAATTATGTTAGTCTGTTACTCCTTTTCCAGAGGGCTCCGTAATCCTGGACCAGGCTGTATCCTGCGCAGCTTCTGTGGTGGTCATTGAGGAGTGGAGAGCATGATTCCTGATACAGCCCAGTGACAGACGAGTCTGCATTTATCCTGTGGGCCAGCCTGAATACCTGCTGGTGACCTACTTAGACCTGCAGCTTCTCCACAATGGATGTCTAGCATTCTCCAGCCTCTGACGACTAGACTGCAGCTATGCACAAGAAGTTTGGCCATAGAAGAAATGTTCGTGTCCAACTGAGCCTGGTTTCTCTCATTTTTTTTTTCTTCTTCACTTTCGCCAATTGGTATAGTTTGTTACTTGACACTGTTACCGTTTGCTTGGTTTGAGACTTGTTGAGCTGCGCATCGATGGATTTGCTCTTCAATGTTTGGACTTTCAGCAGTGAAATTTACATTACACTGAACTGAACTTCAACTCAGAAAACTGGACGCAGATTCAGTTTACTTTGTAAAGCTGCTTTGACACAATCTTGTCACACTCAAATAAATGTTCTGATGGATCCAATTGCGAGTGAACAAAAAAGTATTTATTTGACACAGTCAAACTCAAAACAAGTGCAAGGAATGAGTGCGGTGCTAGGGCTAGGAGAACAGGGCTGGTATCAGGCAGGATAACAGGTTCTTGTAGAAATTCCTTACGGTCCTGAGCACAGACAGATAGCACACATAAGCACACGTAACGAACTGACAAGGACACACAGAAAACGTCGCCCATATATAGGCACGAATATGAACCTCAGCTGGCAGACTCATCAAGCTAGCTGAGTGTCGTCATCACATGTGATCAAAACAGATAAACGTGGAGAACAAAAACAAAACAAACCCACATGATCAAACAGACACTCCGGAAAAGCGCACAAACCTGCAACCGTGACAAATCTACATTATCAAAGCGCTATATAAATAAAGATGAATTAAACTGAAATTACCTGTCTGCATATCTTTCAGCTGGCATGAGGTGTTTTCTTGTCAACTCTTTCAATTTGAAATTGTTTGTAACTTCACACTGTCCAGAAATGTCTGTTAGCAGGATTGAAGAGTCATTTTTATTCACCAATTGTTGTAGCCCTTCTTTCTTGTCTGACAACATTGGAACTTCTTTTACCATACTATTGGTGGTTGGCACTATTGCACTACTGCCACCAAAACGACACTACCAGTGTGTCATTAACATTAACAGCCATGCCAAAGCAAACAGGAGGATAACCTAAAGAGACAGAGCATCTAGAATAAAGTAAAAAATTTAAGTATATAGTTTATTATATAAACAGTGAATTTGTGCATCAGTGTTATTATGATGCCAACTCCCACTGACATTTTTTTGCACCTTTCCCAATCAAGTGATAATCAGTGATTTTGTTTCCTGTGACTCGTGAGACACCCCAAAAAATGTCAGCCTCTAGGTGTATAAGGTATACAATGCATCTGGAAAGTATTCATAGCGCTTCACTTTTTCTAAAAAAATTTTTAATGTTACAGCTTTATTCCAAAATGGATTAAATTAATTTATTTCCTCAAAATTCTAAACTCAATACCTCATTCATGACAATGTGAAAAAAATATTTTTTTAAATGTTCCAAATTTATTAAAAATAAAAAACCTGAAATATCACATGTATATTAGTATTCACAGTCTTTGCCGTGAAGCTCTAAATTGAGCTCAGGTACATTCTGTTTCCATCATTCTTGAGATGTTTCAGCAGCTTAACTGAAGTTCACCTGTAGTAAATTCAGTTGATTGGACATGAAAAGGCATACACTTGTCCAAAAAGGTCCGAGGGTTGACACTGCATGTCAAAGCACAAACCAAGCATGAAGACAAAGGAATTGTCTGTAGACCTCTGAGATAGGATTGTCTTAAGGCACAAGCCTGGGGAAGGTTACAGAAAAAATTGCTGCTGCTCTGAAAGTGCCAATGAGCACAGTTGCCTCAATCATCCGTAAGTGGAAGATGTTTGGAACCACCAGGACACTTCATAGAGCTGGCTGGCCATTTAAGCTGAGTGATTGGGGGAGAAGGGCCTTAGTCAGGGAGGTGATCAATAACCCGATGGTCACTCTGTCTGAGCTCTAGCATTCTTCTGTGGAGAGAGGAAAACCTTACAAAAGGACAACCATCTGTGCAGCAATCCAACAATCAGGCCTGTATGGTAGAGTGGCCAGATAGAAGCCACTCCCTGCCTGGGATTTGCTAAAAGACATCTGAAGGACTCTCAAACCATTAAAAAAAATAAATTCTCTGGTCTGATGAGACTAAAATTGTACTCTTTTGAGTGAATGCCAAGTGTTAAGTTTGAAAAAAAAAAAAAAAAAAAAAACAGGCACTGCTTATCACCAGGCTAATACCATTCCTACAGTGAAGCATTGTGGTGGCAGCATCATGCTGTGGGGAAGTTTTCCAGCCGCAGCAACTGAAAGACTAGTCAGGATATAGGGAAAGATTAATGCAACAATGTACAGAAACATCCTGAATGAAAACCTGTTTCAGAGTGCTCTTGACCTCAAACTGGGCTGACGGTTCATCTTCCAGCAGGATAATGACCCAAAGCACACTGCCAAAATATCAATGGAGTGGCTTCACAACAACTCGGTAAATTTCCTTGAGTGCCCCAGCCAGAGGCCAGACCTAAATCCCATTGAACAACTCTGGAAAGATCTGAAAATGGCTGTACACTGTCACTTTCCATCCAATAAAAAATATTTTTATTTTTCACATTGTCATTATGGTGTATTGTGTGTAGAATGTTGAGGAAATAAATTAATCTATTTTGGAGTAAGGCTGTAACTTAAAATAAGGTGGAAAAAGTATAGCTATGAATACTTTCCGGATGTACTGTATATGCAGAGAGTGCACTGCTGGTCGAGTAATAACAGAATCAGAATTTTAAGCATCTGGGGTGCGAACAAAATTGAGTGAAGATATTTTAATGGGTGTCTTTGTTCATCATGTCTTCTCTTACAATTGTTTTTTTTTTCCCTAAAGGTTTTGTATGCAGAAGAGTGCAAAGCTGGTGCCAGGAGTGACGTTAGACCTGATTGAGAAGTAGGTATAAAGAGGTCCATGATCTAAAGATGTTGAAAATTAATGTTTCTAATTATCAAAGAAATTTAAATTTTAGTCAAAGATAACACAAGCAAACACATCATATATATATATATATATATATATATATATATATATATATATATATATATTATTATTATTATTATTAATAGAAGACTAAATCCAAAACTACGTAGCCATGTGTGTAAAAAGTGTTCCTCCCTTATTAAAACATAACTCTAATTTATCTAGCCACACTCAGGCCTGATTACTGCCACATGTGTTCACAATCAAGAAATCACAAATAGTACCTGCCTGACAAAATGAAACATGCAAAGTATTGCTGCTCTGACAACCAGAGTACTGATTCCTTGTTATGGTGATCTACTGATTCTAATGCTTCACGCTTTATAATAGATTAAGCACATTTTCCCTTTAAGTATGAACTTAGGAGAAGATCTTGCCTTGCCTAAGAGAATAAATCAAGGACGCTGCATATAATACCTTAAACATGTCTTAAAACCATTTAGGTGTGAACGTGTCAGGGCCAGGAGCAGTTTACAGAAGATAATTCATCCATTCATTTTACCCTGGCTTAGTCCCTTATTTATAAGGCCTTGCCACAGCTGAATGAACTGCCAAAGAAAATAATATCACACATATATACATTTTTTATGAAAAATTAATTTCATATATTGCTACTGATGAAATAAGAATTCAACGTCTTAATCAAGAAAAAGTTTGGAGCATACAATTGATGCATAAGAAGGTAAAATGTACACTTAGTCTAATACTGCCTTACTAAAAGGAAAGAGATCTATACAATTCATAGCAATGAGTGTATTACAAGAACTTATATTATTGAATATTCATGGTAGAAAATTAATTAAGTTTTCTTTATCTAATAAATCCAGCCAGCTTTTAGTAAATTTGCAATATTGTCAACACAGAACTTTCAGTTGTTGTATGTAAAAAAAAAAAAAAAAGGCCTAAATGCATGCAAGACCATTCAAATATTTTTGCTCGTCAACTATTGACAGCAGATCACTCATGATGAGAGCGATAGGGAAATTTGCAGTTACTACATCTTTACTGCTCTATTCATTTAACCAAAGAAATGTAATGCTATTACAGTGTCTCTCACGATCTGCACTCTTGCTCATTCACTGTCATCGCCATGATTTCCGAGTATTTTAACTAACTTTTGGGGATCACGGAGCCGGTATAAATTTGCTGGAGACTCGCGGAGCTTCGGGAGAGGTTATACGGTTGCATGAGATGCTAGATAGGGGTGACATCAGCTCAAAATGGTGGAGATACAATGGCTGCACTTGCAACAAAGACAGCAGAGTATCACTCACGCAAGTCACGCCCATAAACTGTAAACAAGTTGCGCTGCATCTGTATATATTTTAGCTGCAGTCACTGTAATAAGAACACATTGATCACTCCCACACATCATTTACCTGTGTTGTAGCTGCTGTAGGTATTGCATAATAAACGGGAGGGCATGTGTGTCTTCAATCCTGTCAGATATGTCGCGCATTCTCATTCTCATACAGCTGAGAGTGGCTGTGTAAACTCCACCATGCGCAATTCAGAGAGCAGAAATTTGTAATCACGCGACCATGTAGAGACAGAAATCACATGCCATTGTGTAAATAAGATATTACACATAGCTATTTAGCAGGTTAATTTAAAAAATTTGTGATCTGGTGCTATATATAAAATAGTTAACTACTATTTTAAAGCTCCCCTTGAAGCCCCCCCCCCCAACCCCCCATTCTTGCTGTGAGGCAAACGTGCTACCCACTGCGCCACTGCGTCGCCTTTACAACTTCACTATTTCACAAAAAAATAATTTGAAACCTATTATAAAAACTATTCAGCAGTAATAAAATCACTGATTTTTCTGCATCAGAATCTCTGCAGTTTGTGTCGAATAACAAGTAAAACAAACAGGCATCATTTGTTGTTATCCAAAAGGGGATCAGGGTCATTTACTAATTCACTTTTCTTTGCCAATTTCTGCAAGCTTACATTTCTTGTAATGTCCAGTTTCAAGATTGCATTGTAAGATCGTATTGTAAACCCCCCATTTAAATTAATATAAGCTGCTGCTTTTATTAAGCCTTTTAAATTTAAATACATTTTTAAAAAGAATTTTACAGAATTAGAGTGAAATAATAATGGAAATAATTCAGGCAATATTTTGCTCCACTGTAATCTTAAATGTTCTAGATGAGTAAAGTTATGTTTTAAGACTTTAAAGGAGATAAATGTCTTTCAGAGGCTTAGGCCCCATTTGTACTAATACGTTTTTGTTTTGAAATGCATACGTTTTGCTACGGTTACACCTTCCATCCACACTGAAAATGCACTAAAAATGGAGCGTTTTGAAAACGTTGAAGAGGCCGTTTTCATTTTAAAACGCTTCTGCTCTGTCAGTGTGGATGGTGGAAAACGGAGACATCTGAAAACGGTGGCGTGGCTGCAGACATACACCTATCTCATTGAGGCTTTTTCCTCATTATTATTAAGTAGCCTACAGAAAGTTCAGCCTTGCATCCTTTCCTTCTAAGTTCGGGTGAATTTTCAAAGGGAACAGTGTAGTTTATAACCTCATTCACATCACCCTGGCTATGTTGTTTGACTATCCCAGCAATAAAATGAAAACATGACTTCAGGAAAAAATTTTATTTTGATATTAACAATTTAACAGACCACAAAATGTTAAGGCATCGTGTAGCTACATATTAATATGACTGTTATCTTCTCTGTATGCATATTTAGAACAAAACGAAGCCTAAAATACAAAGCATATGCTGTCTCTTCTGCTGAATATTTGCTTTAATAATCAATAATTGCCATTAAAAGTATATAATAGATATAAAGTAATAGATTCAAAAGACCAAAGTCGGGGAATATGTCTTTAGATATAGACAAGATGAATTAAATATCATGTATAACAAAAATAGGATCGAGCGGTAGATTACTGATAAATCATCTAACGTGCACAGCTCTCACCTGGGGTTCTGTGCACAAAGCACCTGCTGACTGCCTGGAGCTCATACGCTGCAGTGCATGCCAGAGTGTGTGTGGTCACGTGATGTGTGTTTTCAACGATGTAGTGTGGACAGAGAGCTGTTTAGAAACGCTAGGTGAAATGCCAGTGTGGACGTAGATCTTTTTCATTCTAAAACACCACTTTAAAACTAAAACATATTAGTGTAAACAGGGCCTCAGAGTCTCACAGAGCCATTAGCTATTCAGAGACAATAGAGGAGTGTGTGTGAACGACATGTGCAAAATGGCTCCAGTCTACAGAGGAGCTGCTGAGAATGAGCATAAACACACATACACAACCAGGACACCTCTTGGTCAAAAAAGAAAAAAAAAACTTAACCAGAGGCCTTTTTACTTGAAAATTACCTTATAAAGATGCCCAATCTTGGTTCCAGATCCCCTGTTAGTGATTGTATAGCAACATCAATGTCCCCTCTTAGGTAGGCAAGTACAAACACAAACACACACATACACACACTTGCATTTTTTGAAGATGAATTATCACTACCACTATGACTGGATTGCTCATTCTAAGAGGCAGATTTCCAAACTGCCAAAAGACAGTGAAGCCCCCAGAACGGTTTGATCTATCATTTTGCTATTCCACTTCAGTTGCTTCACTTCTAAATTGACTTTACTTTATTATCCACACTGTGTTAAATTGTTTCTGGCTTCACAATACATTACCACGTACAAATACACAACAGATACATCATAACTCATGTCAACTGTACTGTAGGGATCTATAGAAAAAAAGCAGTTCCAAATGTAGTTCTTACAATAAATGTTGAAGTATTGCAAATTCAGTTTGGTGGTGTCAATTATATATCTCAGCTCAGTTTGGTAACTTAATACAAATGTCTAGTGGCATTCTTTAGCTTAAATGGAGTTTTGTTTTTGTTTAGTTCAATAAAAAGTATGACATTTTGTATCTCAATATCTTTTTATTTATTGAGCATTTATGTTTTTTTTTATTATATATTTTTTATACAATGTTAGCCCTACTCATCTATTTAATGCTTATTCTTTACTTATTTTTCATGTGTTTCTGAACTTTTCTCAGGATACCAGGAAGGCTGAATGACAGGAGGACACCTTTAGGAGAGCTGAACTGGATTTTCACAGCTATCACTGACACAATTGCATGGAATGTCCTACCGAGAGGTTTGTTCAGATTAACACAAATGCCTATAGTACCCTTTTAATAAATTTATGTAAAGTGTTTTAATATAATTTTATCAAAATGACAGACTGCTGAGTTTTTCTACCTTCAATGACCATAACGTCCATAATTTTAAACTCTTCTTTATTCCTGAGGAGAAACCTGCTGTGATTGTTTGAGTACATTCTTACCTCTTTAATTATTGTGTATAAGAGAAATGCAAGTCTGCGTTATGCCCATTTCTAGGGTTTATATGCTGTGCACACATATCATTATCATAGGATTCCATTAAATGTGAGTATTACTGGTCCCACTTTATATTAAGTGGCCTTAACTAATATGTACTTAACCAGGAATTAATAGTTTGTTAAAATGTACTTATTGTGTAAAAACATGTATTTACTTTGTACTTATGCTTGATTAAATACATATATGTAATTACTTCTGTAATTAACTTTTGTTATAAACATTTGTAAATCCACTGTTGGCCATCCCATACACCTTAACCCATCCTTAAACCTACCCATACCACCAAACCTGTCCATAACCCAACCTCTATCCCAACTCAAAAGCACCACGTGTTCTCAAATACATTATAAACACAGTAAGTACATTGTATTTATTTTTTAAGTACATAGTAGTTAAGGACACTTATTATAAAGTTGGACTGCATTACTTAACAAATTACTTGCATTCTTGTTGAAGTTGCGTGCTATAATGTGTCATGTCTGATTACTTTAACCTTTTTTATCTCTCTTTAGATCTCTTTCAGAAATTATTTCGTCAGGATCTCTTGGTGGCCAGTTTATTTCGCAATTTCCTATTGGCTGAGAGAATTATGAGGTCATATAACTGTACACCAGTCAGCAGCCCCAGGTTGCCACCCACATACATGCATGCTATGTGGTAAGTTTAAAAATACTGTATTTTATATTCTCGATATTATTTAATTTTTTTTAAACAAATCAAAAATAAGGTATTTTCAGTGTGTCTGACTACTATTTGTTTATGATCTGTACAAAAACAAAAACATGAAATACATTTTTACATACTCTAAGGTTTGAAATTCAGCTTACATGTTCAAATCAGATTTCAGTAGTTATATATCAAGTGCCGAGAAAAAAAATCTACTAACCCCTTTTACAGGGTCTTAATTAAAACTTAAATAAAATCTGGATATAAGGGTATTTTCCCCGAAAGCCAATCATCTGAAAGAGTAATAAAATGGGCCAATGATGCAGTTGGCAGCAATTAAAATTAGTTGTGTATAAAGATGCCAGCCATGCAAGGCTAAGCACCTTTTCGCTTTCAGAGCCTCATGGTACTGAGAGAGTCTTTGGTTCCTCAATCTCCAACTGTATCTGCAATGGCCACGTATCAGCTCTACTAAGTGCAGGCCCGACAGGCAACCGACTATGCTCTGCTTACCACCAAGTCATCTTCTCATGCCCTAGAAAGGATGATGGCCACACAACCTGGCCGGACCTGAATGATATGTGTGACATTGACAAAGTTTGTTTACTTAATGCACATATCCCAGGCTGGCCTGTTCATCGACAATGTCATTGAATTCACTCAGGAATTTACTACCGTCAAAGAACAGTCCATTAGGATGGGTAAAGTCCACCAATCTCCAACCCCGGCAGCTTCAAGACCTGCTCTGCCACCCCTGCCCGCTCCGCCCGCTCCTCCGGCTAAGCGGCAGCATCAAAAACCCCACAGGCATCCAGCGCCCATGCCCAGTGTTGCTGTTAGGTCCAGTAAACGGGCCATTAATCATCCCTAAGACGGGCCATCTGGGGAAGAGCAAACTTGTTCTTTCCCTCTGTGGAGGGAAGGGCATCGCAACATCCAATGGCATTTTTCAATGCCAGTCTGCTGGCTTCACGGCCGGTGGCTGCCAAATTCTCTATGAAAGAGCATTTTTCTCCTTCTCTGGATGTGACAGCCGGAACACTGCCAGTCTGGGACACTATGCCTTCCAGCTTGCAGATCAATGCACCTCGCCAGTGGCGCTGAGTGTGTTAGACAATGGTCTCCTTTCTCGCACACTCCCAGCCCCCTCTCAGGACCCTGGTAGGAAGCTGAGAGTGAATCCCTTGCCTCCTGCTCTTCTATGGGAGCGCACCGCTGGTTTGTTAATGATAATGCCACTTGCGCTAGCTCTGCCAGCCTGGTTAACGCTGCCCAGCCCGTCGCAATCGCTCATATGCATGATCAGATTGATCATAATCAGGCCAACGGCCTCCCAAGTTCACGGGTGTGTATTTCACCAAGGTCAGCCCTGTGTTTATCCTGTCTTGCACAAGGAGATTGCTGTGCGCCTTAGCGAAGAAGGCAATCGAGATGAGGAGCGGGTTTTACAGACTTTACTTCATTGTGCTCAAATAGAGCGTTGGGCTTTTTCCAATTCTAGACCTGCATTTTTAAACCGGCATTTTAAACCGCTCCATTTACAAACTGCCGTTCACATTGCTCAGTTAGAGGCACATCCTTCGGTGCATCCATCCTCAGGATTGGTTTGCAGCAATAGACCTGAAAGATATGTACTTTCATGTCTCCATTCTTCCACACCACCGACAGTTTTTGCCGTTTTGAAGGTTGAGCCTGGCAGCACAAAGTCCTCCCCTTCGGGTTCTCTCTGTCTCCGTGGTCACCATCAGACTCAGACTCAGCTTTAAGTGGTCACCATGAACACCATGATCTGATGCTAACCTGTTTAAGAGAATTCAACAGGAAAACGGTAGTCTCACTGAAATTATTTCAGAGGCTTTTGAGTGTGCTTCAGCATTGGTTTCACAATCAGGTCCCCAAATGCGCATGGCATGCAGGTGAGAACCGGGTGACTGTCACTCCGCTGTGTCACCAGGCCTTAAGCTCTTGGTTGCTCCCTGCATACCTACAGACCGAAGTGCCTCTAGATCAAGTGTCCTGGCATCTCTTCTGCTCAACGGATGCATCCAGCACTGGGTGGGGGGCCATGTGTTGTTGGCATGCAGCTGCGGGTGGGTGGAAAGGAACCAGTTGCATTGGCATGTCAATTGCCTGGAGCTGTTGACAGTGTATCTTGCTGTGCCCCATTTTTTACGGTGCTAGTGGGGAAACATGTGCTTGTCAGTATGCACAACATAGTGACAGTAGCGTATATCAACCGCATGGGGGGTATCCGCTCCCACCGCATGCTCAGCTCGCTTGCCACCTGCTCCTCATGTCTAGGTCCTGAAGTGCAGTCTATTTACTAAATGGTGCGCTTCTCTCCAAGAAGACCCTCAGTCTTGCCAGATCAGCATGGTGCTTTCTTTTTTTTCAGGTACGATGGAGCGAAGGGTGTCGCCTTCCACATTGAATGTTTATGTTGCTGTCATTTCTGCTCAATTTGATGATGCAGATTAAATCCACCCTGCGCCCCTCACATGCCCTCTTTGTATCTCGCTATAGTGCTTACAAGCCTACACAGAGATCCGTTCGAACCACTCAACTCAGTATCCTTGAGATTTCTGTCTTTGAAGACAGCTCTGCTGGTCGTGTTGGCAGTTTTAGTCGAAAAATTAAAAATAAAACATCCAAAACTGCATAAAACTCTAGAGGAACCGTGGATAGTATGGTGATGCAATGATGTTAATCAAGCTCATGTAAACTTTTAAAAAAAGTTGAAATAATCGTAAAAAAAAAAAATAGGTAGTCAAAGACTTGTCTTGAATACAATGGGCAATCAGTAGAATTGTCACAAGTGGCCTATTGTTTTGCAAGGACCAAGACTGAAGTGTGAAGGAAGGCCTAGAACATTTTGTGATTTATCATTTTCTTTCTGAATTTAGTTGTGGAAAGTTACTAGTTGTCCAGTCTGTGTCTTTCAGCAGCCCTTAAGGATATCTAAAGCTATGTTTCATAATTGTAATGTAGTCTTCACACTCCCAGTGACTTTCTTGCTATATGCTCCTTGTCTCCATAATTCAGGTGTTTCTAATGCTGACACTCTTGCTCTTGATGACTATTGTTACTCTTCGGAATATTTTTTTAGAAAATGTGATTATAATACACTGGGACGACGTGGTTCGTCTCACAGCAAGAAGGTTGCTGGTTTGAGCCTCGTCTGGGTCAGTTGGCATTTCTATGTGGAGTTTGCATTTTCTCCCTGTGTTTGTGTGGGTTTCCTCCGGGTGCTCCGGTTTCCTCCACAAGTCCAAAGAAATGTGGTACTGGTGAATCAGGTTTGCTAAAATTGACCGTATTGTATGAGTGTGTGTGTGAATGAGTGCGTATGGGAGTTTCCCAGTGATGGGTTGCAGCTGAAAGGACATCTGCTGCGTAAAACATATGCTGGAAAAGATGGTGGTTCATTTTGAAGTAGTGACCCCAGATTTATAAAGGAACTAAGCCAAAAAGAAAATGAATGAATGAATGATTGTAATACACGGATAAAGGATGGCATATGCATCGTTTTAAAACTGACTAGGTACTGACTTTATTGTTACTAAAGTAATATTCATTTAGAGCAGGGGTCAGCAAACTTGTTCCTGGAGGGCCGGTGTCCTGCTGGTCTTAGCTCCAACCCTAATCAAACACACCTAAACAAGCCAATCAAGCTCTTACTAGGTATACTTAAAACACCCAGGCAGGTGTGTTGAGGCAAGTTGGAGCTAAACCCTGCAGGAACACTAGCCCTCCAGGACCGAGATTGGTGACCCCTGTTTTAGAGACTGTTTAATATACAGTGTAAACATGCATGTACTGTCTATCAGTACTACCGGAAGATTTTCTGTGTGCCATGGTCTTAGTGGACCTGTGTGCATTTTGTTTTAAAATTATTTCTCATGGTAACTTGCAGGTATATCGCGCTTATGTGTCTTTCTAATTGGCTGCATGAAACTGACGTGAACTGTGAGACTGACTTTTCTAAGCTTAAGATCAGCACATGTGATGAATGGCTGAGCATTGACCAGACAGAGTCAAGTTTAAGAGCAGTGGCAATTCGCAAAATGAGGAGAGGTTGTGCAACGATAATGAACATTATAAAACATCTAAACATAAAGGAACTTTAGGTAGAAGCCACCAAATGTGTTAAAACAAATGAATAATTTACTGGAAGGCTGGCTAAAGACTGAACGTAGGTGAAGATGTAAGCAAGGCAGGCCTGACAGCTGAGGTGAGATGGACATTCAATAAACGTTAATCAGATAAATGTTAATCAAATCCATTCTCAAAGTTTTTGATTAAGTGATTTGCAAATGTGATATTGTTTCAATACAACAGTCATTTAGTCAACTTTGACTAAAACTGTTGCCTGATTTTGCTTTATTTCATAAACAATTTGTCACAGCAAACTGGCTGTGCAGCTCCATGCAACACAAGTTTTGAATGAATGTGAATTAATGAATAAATGTTTACAAATGAATTAGTGAGTCAGTGATTCAACTACTCAATTATAAAGACAGTGACTTGTTTTGCTTCTAAATGAATCAGCTGTTCAAATGAATCAATCAAATTAATGATTCAGTAATGCAAATCCGTCATTTGGCATCACCTAGTGTCAATTTAATTAGTTTAATTTTAAAATTTTGCAGGGTAAATTATTGGAAACTTTTTAATCAATCACTATTTCTTTATTCAAATTCTGTATAATAATTAAAACATTGTCAGAATCAGAATCTTTATTGTCATTGTAAAAAAAACAACGAAATTTACATTTGCCCTTCCCTTCAGTGCAGCCTATTTATCCAAAACAACAACAATTAAAAAGAGATATAAAGATAAAATGGCAACAGTGATTAATCATTAAAGGAGTAACAAAACAATACTAAAAGTGCGTATGATGTGTGTATAAAGTCCAAGTGCATTTTCTAGCAGCTTTCTAAATTTAAAGTAAAGTATATAAAGTGTATAAAATGTATACATACCCCCCCCCC